TAGGAGAGGGGAAGGGGGGCGGGGAAAGGTAGGAGAGGGGAAGGGGGATAAGTGATGAGGGAAGGAGACTTGGTCTGGGGTGGTGAACACTCAATACAGTATACAGATGATGTGTTATAGAACTGTACCCCTGAAACCTACATAATTTTATTAACCAATGTCACCCCAATAAATTCAATAAATAGAAAACCATAAGGGCTGAGAGAGAATATACAGACGTCATGACAAAGCAAGGGGCCCAGTCACACGTGTTCCTAAGAAACAGGGATGGAGATCAGCGGTACTAATACAGTCATTCGTCACTTAACAATTGGGATATGTTCTAAAAATGCCTCAGTGGGAGATTTCATCTTCGTGGAAATGCTTAGGGGCCATGACGAGCCAAACAACACGAGATTAAATCAAGCACGAGAGAAACTGAATGATCGAGAGTTGCAATAAATACGAGATGCATGAGGCTGCTGGTGTAACACAGCCTGTGTTTTACAGCTAACTTTTTTTTTACTAAGTAGAAAGAGTACACTCTAAAACTAACTATAAAATTATAGTATGGCAAATGCACAAACCAGTAACATAGCCTTCTGATATCATTATCAAGCATCATGTACCGCACATAATTGTATGTGCTGTGTACTTTAACACGCCTGGCAGTGCACCTGAATCGCCACAGACACTTAAGGGATGTGTTGAGCTATGACATTACAATGGCTTCAACAGGCAATAGGATATTTCAGCTCCATTATCATCTTAGGGGACCACCATCATATATGTGGTCCATTGTTGGCATAAACATCATTATGTGGTACATGACTATAATGGAGATATAGATGAGAAGGGAAAACTAGGTATTCCTAGATACTTCTGGAAGAAACTCCTGGCTGTAGGCCATGACACTGCATCTGACTGCTACTTTATATGGGACTCGTCTCAGTGTTTTAGCAGCAGAACTTTATAAGCTATGACAGATACAGACACTTGAGATGTCCTTTTATCGCCTCGTTTTTGGAGAGAATGCTTTTACACGCTCGGTTCCAAATGAGGCCCACCTACCCCGTGCAGCGCTGTACCAGTGTGTTCTATCCGCTGTTATTTGCTGTCTCTTTGCTAATGCTCTGAAAGATGTTGTATGTTTGACTGAGAGTTTTTATTAAACTATATCAACAATAAAATGTTAAAATGTTTGTGCTCATTAGCTTAGCTTTGTAATATTATTAGGTTTTTTTTTTACATGATGCCAGTGGCTTGCTAGCAATTATCGAATATCAATAGTTACGAATGCTTACATTAGTTTTAAAGTGCTAGTGTTTGCCTTTATATATGATTGGGTATGTTCTTAAAAGTGACCATCATTTCTGTTTTTATGAACAGTTGTAACATACAATTCATCCTAAAACATACCAGCTTGAATGTTTTTTTAAAAATCTGAACACGTTGAACCAGAACTCTCCTCTGCCCTAGTGGGTACTAACTCCTGCAGGTCTCTAGGGAGCTGTTTTGGAAATTGTTCCTCTAGGGCAGCAGATGGTACCCTAGTGCCTTGAAAAACATAAAGTAACTTTCAAAGGTACCCGACTGTACACCCAGGGGATAGTTTGTATATATGGAAGGATAAGGCTCATAATTTGGGCAAATTTATTTTTTCAGTGTGAGTATTAAAATATGTGAGGCATGACAAATGTATAGATGCACATTCTCAGTGCGGTGACACATTATGGAAACCCTTTTCTTTCAGCTCTAGGAAAAGAATGTCAGTGATTGTTCGCACCCCGTCCGGGAAGTTACGACTCTACTGCAAAGGAGCCGTAAGTTTTTATTCTTGTCTTTGCAGTTTTGATTTATGGTGGTTTCTAATGTATATGTTAAGCGTTCTGCTATGGAAATGTAACACAGATGTTTAGCATGAGGTTGCTGACATCCACTTTGGTTGGTGTTTTATAGTAATAGTGTTTGGCCTCTTCTGGTGCAATGTGGAATTCCTTCTGGGTAAATTTGATGCTTTAAAAAAGTTTGGCCTAGGTTATTTATATAACTTAATTTTTGATATATAATATTTGAGGTTTATATTATATAAATAAGATAGAAGACACCTAAGTACAGAAAATATTTTTTAAATTTTATTAGATATGTAGTGATCCACACCAGTTTGAATTTAATTTTTTAAAGACCATTGCCGGGGGGGTGGATCACAATTACTGCTATAATTTCTTTATGTGGTGATCGCTATTTGCCTTACATTGTTTTAAGTTATAACAGAATTTTTAACTCTTGGTTGGCTTTAGAATATTGGCAGGTTAGATTGGCAGAAATAGTAATATGTTTCTGTAAGGATGGCTAGTTGTGATTTGTCATTTAAAAACATGCCGTACGAATCATGCAGAAAGTCACATTCTGTCCCCTGCTTTCCTCAACGCTGTAAAGAAGGTGGAAAATTCTCCTATTCTGAGCATCAGTTTCTTCCATCTGAATGCTTGGCTGCATTGCAGAATTTCATCTCCCTGGCCTTAGTATCACTTTTATTTGCTTGATTTTAATTTTTAAAAGATTTTTCTTAGTTTTAAAATGGCCTATTTTAACTTCATTGAAAATTTCATTAGCCTCTAGGGGAAAAAAATAGAGTTCATAAGTTATACCTTTCATTCTCAGAAAGGAGCCATGAGGGGAAATTATCATTTCCTTTGCTTTGCCCCCTTCCCATTCTGCCACTGAAAAATGAAAAGAAATGCGTAATTGAGGCCGGGAATACCCATCTGTTCTGAGGTCACTGGGTTCTGCTGCTCTCAGGGGTCCTAAATCATCGTCCATTAGTCTGCTTCCAACTCAGCCCTGAGACTGGAGACCCCAAAATGGGGACTACCACTGAGAAAGTAATTGCAGGTAAATGATTTATTTTTTCCTGGTCTAATAAAACCATGAAGGCCAAATACTAAAATTCTTAAAATGTTCAACTCAAGCCAAAGAATAAGTGAAGGAACAATAGGCAGTTTGTAAAGGAGCAAAAATCAGAGAAACCTATGTGGTGCGTAGAGTTAAAGCGGAAAGGCACTTTAAAGAGAATCCAGTGATTGGATTTCACAGGCTAAGTAAATTGAGTCTGAAAGCTGAAGTGAAACTATCAGAAATACTCAGCTCTGCCAATGCTGTGTTTGCCCAAGAGTCTCCCTTCTCTACCCACCAGCCCTCTCAGTGGATTTGGACCTGTGTCTCTCAGAGTTTGTTCTTCTGTCAGTACAGTCCCATCAAGACGCCCTCACCCCTAAAAGGTTCAGTAGTATGTGAGTTTAAGCACATCTCTATACTCCTCTTAGAGATGCACTATGCACAGTAGCTTTTTTTTTTAATATGTTTTTATTGACTTTTTTAGAGAGAGAGGAAGGGAGAGGGAGAGAGAAAGAAACATCAGTTGGCTGCCTCCTGCACATTCCCTGCTGGGAATCGAACCTGCAACCTGAGCATGTGCCCCAACCAGGAATTGAACTGGTGACCTCTCAGTGCATGTGACAGTGCTCAACCAACTGAGTTACACTGGCCAGGGCCACAGTAGCATTTCATAAAGACTCTGAGAAGTACTGCAGCAGAGTAAGCTCTCCAGCTCTGTGCATTTCCCAGACTTTTTGAGGGCTAGACCATTCTTCTTTGTAGGGCCGGTGAGCACTGCACTGGTCTGTACAACCTTCAGAGCTGGGGGCAGATCCTGCAGCATGTGGGAGGTGAAATGTTGATAGAATGAGATTTTAAACACTGGCGTAACTAAGGATTTATTCAGAGGAATAAATAAATAGATTTATTTATTTGGACTAAAACCTTATTTGTTGGTGTCATTAGGGAAACAGTGTTATTTGGGGGAAATATTTTATGCTTTAAACCAACGCTAACAGTGATTGGTTGTTTTTATACTGATTTGCTGCTAATAACATTGCCAAAATCAACTTTATTAAACTCAGAATACTTAATACCTTCTGTTTGTTTTCCAGGACACTGTAATTTATGATCGACTGGCGGAGACTTCAAAATACAAAGAAATTACCCTAAAACATTTAGAGCAGTTTGCAACAGAAGGTGAGTGTAATATTGTAATAAACCATGGTTAAATTTTTTTTTTTAAAGCGTAGGCTATGGATATCCTGCAGGATCATTGTTATTATTTTACTTAGAGATTCCTAAAGCAAGATAGCCATTAAGGTTGATTATTTACCTTATACTATAAGCTGTTCCCACCCATTATTTTTATTTTGCTTTCCTGTATTAAAATTTTAGAAGACTTTACCCCCTCGTTTTAGGGGGTACAGGGCCTATAAATCTGTCTACTTTTTAGAATGGATACTATTTACAGTTCAAATACTTGACTTTGTATCTCAAGCAATGCAGAAGGAAAAGAAACAAGAAGGAAGGAATAGGGTATTCTAATCCGAATAAAAAACAGAAGAAATAAATAAACTTATCTAACTATTAAAATAGCTGTTCAATTTAGTTTCAATCAAGAGACTTTTTCTTAGGCCCATGCCACATGCCTGCCTCTGTGTGAGGCCTAAGAATCCGTGGTCAACATACCCAGCCCTGCTTCTCTGTCCTACTGAAGTACACGATCCATACTACAAAACAGTGCATGGTCCAGGGAGGCGATCTCGGGTAGATGAAAGGAAGGGAGAGTCATTAAACGTCAGAGTCAGTTATGCAAGAATTTGTAGAATCTTAACTCTAAACGAACGGAAGTGGCCAGAGCTGTATCTCAACCCCCATCTCACTTCTCACCCTTGTTTTCTTGGGCTGGAACTGGGGCCGGTGGCACCAAGCCTGACGTCAGAGCAAATCCTTCTTCCTCTTAATCCAAACTGTGAAAAGATAGGAATGTTTCAAAGCACTAGGCTTTGAAAAGCAAGAACATAAATAACCTCCTCCCAGTTGTCCAAAAATGCGAGAGCATGGAGAGACTCGTGTCCACAGAGTTCAGAGTCCTTAAGGTGCAGCCCCAGAGGGCTCGGCAGGTGCAACTCACGCCACGTACGGCGCAGGCTCCTGACCAGGGAGCCTCTCCCTCCTCCCTGGTTGTGATGCTGAAGACGTGCCAGCTCCTAGACAGTTCAGAGGGGCACGGCCTCCCCCTCCACCCCATTCATCCTGGCCTGGGGCTGAACAGCACTTCACGGCTGCCCCAGAGTAAGTCCCCAGCCAAGTTTCCAAAAGAGAAAAGCGTGTCCTCATATGGCCCCAGAGGTTTAAGTTGTCCCAGTGATCTGGCAGTGGGCAAGCCACTGCTCTCCTGCAAGGCAGCGTCCTCCGGCACTTGATGTCCTGTCTCTGTGCTTCCTGGCCTGAGATCACTAGCACCGGGTTATCCTGAGAGGCAGGTGGACCGGAGCGAGGCCTTGTCCTTGCAGGAGCCTGGTCAGCTGCATCTGTCATGGCTCACGGGCTTTTTGCCTCTTCATTGTTCCAACCCACTGACTTTTCTGGCTGAAGGTACCCTCCAAGCAAGTTATGACATTGAAGGGCGCCGAGCACTGGGAACAGGTCCCCTCAAACAGCAGCTTCGATTGTTTTCCCTAGGGTGTTTCTGACGTTTTTGGTGTGCGTGTGTTTTTTGGCAGGAGAGTCAGTACCCTTCCCCTCCAGTTTTTTAAGGACGTTTTAGCTACAAATAACAGTAATAAAGAGCAGTAATAAATACAACCCTATATCCCAGTAAGGTGAGCCACCCAGGAAAGCAGCTCTCTCCGTAGACCTCATTGGGGTCTCTCTCTCTTCCTCCCTCTATAAGCATCTGTGATCATAGCCAATGTGATGAGCCAGCCACTGTGCTCAGTCCTGGGCTTACAGATGCGGAGGGTCCCTGCCTTCCAGGAGCTCTGAACTAATATAGGAGATCCACAAGAAAACAGTGAGACATTGTCATTCGCACCATAGCTGTGTTTTTCTGCCCCCCCCCCCCCC